ATCTTTAAGTGCGCGAAGGACGTCATTCGCCAATTATATCGGTCGATATGACTATAATCTGTTTAAAAATCCAGACGACGCTTAAAAATTAATACGCGAATGATACCGTAATCTGAGTCCGAGCCCGCACCCACCTAGATTGTCCGGGGCATAAAAGTTTCACGAATCCCCTGTGAAGAGAGACCTTTCGTTGATTACACGTTCACGTGTGTGACTGGGACACGCCGGACTACTAAAGTTGAGCTTCGTCCCTTAGGGTGATACTTTATCTTGCATCTATATCCGTATTTTATCCTATAATGCTCAATACGGTACAATATTTAACGATTTTATTTAATCCTCGAACGAAAAAAATAATGTTAGCAGGGGAATATGATGTGACCGCTCGAGAGAATCAATGTAGATAAATTATTTACTTTTATGTAAACCCTCGTAAGGTACACGAGATAAATCATACAATAATCATGGGTATCATACGCGAGTAAAATAAAAAAAATATTCAACTAATAATAAAACTAATAATAAAGTTTAAGTAAAATAAAGAAAAATATTCAACTAATTATTTACGTAATATTTAATATTTATATATTTGATATAAAAAAATGTAACAATTCGGAAGATTCCTCTTACGATATATTGTTATGTCAAAATATAATCGTTCGCTTTTAATATAAATTCAACACAAGCATTAACTTATTATTCTGCTATCCTTCTAAATGTAAATCCATATGTCGCGGAATTGAAAATGTAAAATTTATTTGCATGTTTGAGCTATATTTAGACATTTTTCGTTTACTCTATTATTACCGGATTACACTGTTAATGATAAGAATATTACCGTCTTCCGAAGCTAAAAGCAACGCAACACGTATGTGTGTCCTCCAATTTGTAGTGTGTGCACGCGAACCTTCCATTTGCGATGCGAGCTTAACGACTTAAAGGGCTTAAAGAGAGGGTGTCCCACCGACATATCCAATGATCTTCGTCGTGTTGTATAATAACGCGCGAGGATTGAGGAATGATCTTTCCGAGTTGCAACATGCAAAACTCGGAAATCAATAATAATAATATATTCCTTTTCAAATTATTATGCAAATCTATTATGGAAATCTCGTCTCAGTCTTACATTTTATTCGCTGTTTTAACATGACACTGTATTGATTAAAATTTAATCTGATCATTTTCCTGATTGTATCCCTCCCATCATAAAATAGCGTAATAGATAAAAGAAAATGATGTTTTTCGAATAGCGATGCATAGAAAAATGAAATCAATACACGGCTCGAAAAACGTGCCATCGCGAAAAGATCTTACGATACATTGTTAACGATAAAAACGTAATCGTGGGTTCGTCACGATCGTCATTGAGCAGATATGGCATGAGGATCGTGGTTCAAGATACGAGAAATTCATAGAAATTCTTTCTTGCATAGTTTTATATACAGAGAGATCTCCTTCGAAATCTCAAAAATGTATGTTCGAAAGATACATCAAAACCACAGATAGATCAAAAGTTTCCAAGTAGCATCATAATTTTCAAGTTTTCAAAAGACTCAGAATATTCGATTCGTTTGCTTATGACTTGCAAACTGCAAACTAGCGCTTCCGATATTTTACGTGCAGATAGATTTCCACACTGTATAAACACGCTTGTCAAAGAATTTCCCGTCGGAGGTAAATCAAAGTCCTTTATGTATAAAAAAAAACCTAATTAACGACAACAATAAATCAACGTACACGCGTTAAAGCGTACGTATAAATCATTATGAAACTTTGTGCGAAAGATGTGAATCATACAGCTGTAAATTAGATAAGATGGTTATGGTGGGAGGAAAAACAGCAGTTCTGTATCGGATTTTCGCGTGTCTTTCGTCTTTCAGCTCGCTCCCTTCTCGTGCCGCTCACTTTTTATCCCCCTCGAACATCCGGCGGGCCTTTCACACGCTGAAATGAAAAAAAGGGAGCTGCCCGGATATATAGCAATCACGGTAAAAATAAATCGGTACCACGAAGTGTCGCAAAAGCGAGTTTCGTCGTTTAAATTCCACGGGATACCTCAGGAAAAAAGCTACATTGGCGAGCCAACTTTTATCGACAATTTTTATTCCTCGCAAAATTTACCCGCAATTTTTTTACATAATTTTACACGCGATTCAATTAGCGATTTATTAAAAGAAATTGTTCAACGGAACGAAAATTTAGCTAAAAACAAAATTGTATTTTTAAGCAAAATTATTTATTTGAAATAAAATTGAAAGAATTCGATAAAACAAATGTTTTCCAATTCACAATAAAACAAAGATAGTGTCAAAATATTCAATATGCTATTTCTAATTTCTGCAAAAAATAGTGAAATTTGAATATTTTTTAATCAAACCTCTTCTTTAGGAAATTTCTATTAAAACTTCTATTGTGTAATAGGTATAATTTTCTCCTTTTTAACGCACAATTTCACCTCATACAAGAAATCTCAATTAAAAGGGGATTATAAATGTGCAAAAGAAAAATGGATCGTTAATTTTAGAATGAGACACACCCTTTATCGTGATAACTCGTGTTCGAGAGACGTGGGAGGTGTAAAGATGTATCGATAAGTGGAATGAATGGAAGTTTTTACACTCCCGTTTCTATTGTATCCTCTAAAAAAGAGAAGAGGGTTGATGCCAGTTTGATATCATTGAAACAAATGGCATATAATTTTAGGGAAAATGTGACTTTTCTCTCTCATAATAAAAGTAGATACCAAAGGCAGACGACTATGGATTAAAAAGAGATTTGGATAATAACATAATTTCGACGCTGATTTAATTTACATAAATTTTCGTGATAAATTTTTTGATAAATAAATTAAATTTTGAGTCGTTTAAATTCTTTATGAATTTTCTCAAATATTTATTTGTGTGTGCATGTGTGTGGCTAAAAAAATTATTATTTAAATTAAAAATTATTATTTAAATGAATGCAAAATTAATTTAAAAAATTTTTTAATGAAATTTATCACAGAATTATGCGCTCTAAATTGCGACGAATTGAAACTGAAATACCTTATCGACAATCTCTGCCATCTAGATGCAATAACCCCAGATATCACGTATCATCGAAGAGCTGCCTTTATATGTCGTTATATTTAACTTTGAGTGGTCGCCGAGCGGCAAGAGCGTCCCATAATTCTTTCTCCGATCCGTTTATCCACGAGAATTATGCAACGCCAATTTTACGCGGTCATCTCGCGAAAGAATATTGATCCGCGAAATTGTTCTCTGCGCGAAATGAAGAACGAGATCACGTTTTAGTTAATGATATGAAAAATAATGATATAGAATTTTACCGCGAGAAATTTTTAAGAAATTAATAATTTTACGATTTAATTAATAAGACTTTTTAACAAATTAATAATTTTAAAATTGAGAGAGAAATTTTCTTTTTTATATAAAAAAAGAAAAAACTATGAATGAAAAAATAAGCGCAAGTTTCGGAGTATCTGATACACATATATATTTGTTAAAGGGAAATCGATAAACGCATTCAGCATCGAGTCGTTCGGCGATAGCGCCGCCGAAATAAATGTCTAAGGTAACCGACCTCGGAATCATTGCCAGAACATTCCCCAGTTAAATACTAACCTACGACTGCGGGTTTATTTTTCTTCGCCAGCGTATTACGTGACTTCGAGTTTCGTTCATCACATAATCAACTCTCGGCAGTCATTGATATTAATCATCTGACCCATTTCTCCGACTTTCTCCGGCAGAAAAATAACTAGATAAGTAATTTTAAAATAAAATAAATAAATAAAAGTTACACACGTCTCAATAACTGTGATTTGAATAAAAACATTTTAAATTTGAAAAAAAAAAAAAAACAAATTTTCGCATTTGCCTGCAATAAAAATGCATTTGAAAATATACGCTTTAATAATATTTTAAGCAAGTGCGATGAAAAACTTCATCATGAAAAATCAACTCTATGAAAAAGTAAAAAAATCTGATCAAAATAATTTCCAATGCATAGAATTTTTAATATCATGTGTTAATTTTTATTATTAAGTTGTATTCTTTCACATAATGTTTTTATTAGTTTTAACTTATAATGTTTTAACTACTCTAACTCATATAATCATTTTTAAAAAATTCTTTGCACATTAAATTATCCTCACAAGTATAAGTATCACTGAATAAAATTTGCATCAGTCATGCAGTATTATTAAGATTAAATATGATATTTGAAGAGCAAGAAGCTATACAAACTTTTCAGATTTATTCAAGAAAGTTACATAAAGTCGAAGATGTTTAACAAGAAATGACGGATATGATCCAATGCAAAAGTCCATATGGAAGAGAACTTGCTTGCCCATTTGAAGATTTTATATCTTCTAAAATATTCCTCGATAATGGAACTTTTTAACGAAAATAAAAATTGAAGAATTTTCCAACTCGGAAAATAAGCGAAAAACTTTGAAAAAAAGCGCATTTAATTTACTCTCAATTAGAATAATTAAGAGCTCGAGTAATAAAACTTTTATCGACACTCTGATTCTAATAATAAGTAATATTATTTTTCGCATTAAAGACAGTAGACTAAAAACAGGATTAATATTATTTTTCACCATCGATCGGTGCAACAAATGATGTTACCCTGGCACTAACGAGTCGAGTAGTAAGATTAATATTATGTTTGGCCGGTTTTTACAACAAGTAGACACGAAGTCGCTCGCTCGCATAAAACTATCAAAATACTCCAAAGCACACGAGAATAATAAATGCACTCTTCTTGCCAGTCTAAAGCATCACGGGGTACAATCTATCCGGTGCTGTCGCGATGCTCGAAGCTCAGGACAAAATTCGCAAGTTCCTGGAACTTCGTACAAACAACTCCTTCTTTGTTTCAAAGTGCACGAGGGAGGTTAGAATGGAAAGAGAGAGGGAGAGAGAGGGAGAGAAAGGATGAGGGGGTAGAAGCCGCGCGTGGCAGCGCAATCGGCGTTCGTTGAACCCTCTTACCTTAACGTCCCCTCGCGCCAGGGCGACGGCAGCACGCAGCCCGCACGTTCATCCCCGCGCCGCGTTGCATCGCCTCCGCCTGCTCTGCCTGCTCTGCCACCCCTCGCGGTGCGGTTCTTCGCCCGGCAGTTAACCCGGTCGAATTTAAGGTGCACACGGAACGTCACGGCGCGGCGGCGGCGAGTCGCGCGGTAACATAACTCCACTGCTCGACGCGACGGGGTCGGTCACCCTCGCGCGAATGCCGCACGGCTCGCCAAACAGGGAAAAAATCCGGATGTACCGCGAGACCGGGATCGGGAGGGGTGAACGAGGACGGGAGGAAGAGAAAGACAGAGAGAGAGAGAGAGAGAGAGAGAGAGAAAGTTGAAAAAACAGAGAAAGAGAGAGAGATAGAGAAAGAGGGAGAGAAAACAGAGCAGCGCGCGTGGTTGTCGGACGAGCCGGCGGCCGACGAGACACACCACGACGGACTGGAGGGTAACGTGGGCAAACGTGGTTGCCGTCGCTACGCCCTCGTGTGCCATCGGTCGGCCTCGGTACACTCCGACGAGCCGTACGTACGTCGCGTCGCGACGCCGGGCGTCCTCAGGGCCGTCGCACCCGCCTATGGCGCCATTGGGGTCACGTGTACCGCGGAGGCACCCGAAGGGGTTGCAGCGCGCGAGCGCGCTGCAATTTCCGAACCACGCGCCGCGGTCACCGGCTTTTCGGAGCGCCGCGATGTATCGATTATTGACTCCACCGGCAGGCACTGCTATTCGATTTTTAGATTTCACGACGACTATACCTGTGCGCGGGGTGTGTGCTTTAACGGAGAGATGAGGGTAAAAATAGACGGACGACGAGAATGTGTTACACGTATATTGCAGCGCGCCTACGGCCGTGGAATATCTTAGATTTCAACTCGATACACGCCCCGGCGATGACAATTTTCACGCGTACGATCCTAGAGATTCGAAGAGATCAAATCAAAAGTTAATATTTCAGGAAACTAGTTTCATTCCGACGACTTCAAATTTCGAAACGCTGATAAAAATGATAATAAAGTATTACAGAAATAGAAAAAAAAAGACGACGATTCGGCAATTTTTAACAACCTTTGGAGAAAAAAGTCAAACGTTTAATAAAAATTAATGTTTCTTTTATCGTTGGAGCGATCGAAAGAGATATTCTCTGATCCAGTGATTGAATTAGCCTGATTAACGCGGATTTTATGGTGAGAGCTTATTGGCTAGAAAAAATAGACGCAACAAGAATATCGCGCACGAGGATATCGATCCTCGTTCCGAACCACCTTTGCAGCCACTTTACCTCATGATTAATCTAGCAATTGCCATCTTTAATTTAAGAACACTGAAGTCTGCAACAATATTATTCCTTACTTTCCTCGAACGAATCGATTGAAGGTATTATTGCTATATCGATTTCAACAAATAGTCAGGGCGTGTAGAAAAGTCGGGAAGAAAGATATCGATCCCCTGACAATTCCAATCTTCATATTTCCAATAATTCTATTTTTTAATAGATCCGTATAACAATATAATCCGGTCGAGTCTAAAGGAATTAATAGCGTTATATTATGCGTTACGCGAGATTACGATCGCTCATTACGCACTCGTACACTTTGCAAAGATATCATTTTGATGTAAAAACTTTAAAAGCCTGTACCATCTCGCACGATGATCGCAATCGCTTCGAAATACATAATTACATTTCATCAGCGTTTTTTTAGGGAGCGTGTGTTCTCATCATTTCGGTGACGATGTAATTTCGCCAAATTAATGCACGGCTGAGTAATTACAAGTGCACGCGAGGCCGCTGTAAGCCCGCGTGCACACGAAGGCAAGCGATTACGAGAGCGTGCCATAAATAATACCTCCGATGGGGCCCTGCACTATCATAGTAACGGAAGATTTCCCAATGGAATCCCGCGGAGCTCGAAAGACGGAATCGGCCGCAAGCATTTGCTTCGTTCGCGCGTGTCTCGCTCGCCCCTGCAAACTACTGCACAAACAGAGATTAACCCATCGCGAGTTAATCCCGTCTCAACAACAATTTTCGCGATGCTTCTTTATCTTTTCGAAATTGCCCGTGATATCGTCGTAATTCTTCTGACGCTCTTTATTAACTTATACAAGTTACAACGCGCCGCTTTATCGTCGCAACAAGTAGCGAAAGTCCGAGTATTCTCAACCGAACCAAACGTCACATCATCTTTAACTCTTCATTCATTTTCATAAGATTTAGATTGTAAAACAGATTTTAATATACTTGGAAAGTTCATCATCTATCTAAATTTTTGTAGCTTTTATTCTATTTGTAGCTTTATATCCGATAGTAATGGTTTTCAATTTTTATTTTCAGTGTTTTTACAATTGAAGATTTAACATGAAAATGGAGATGAAGATTGGAATCGATGGCTGTCAAAATCAAAGTAGAAAATAAATTCCTTACATTGATTTAAATGTCAGAAATATTGTAAAGGAGATACATATTTTTTTCACAGAAATTCAGCTTCATAATTTTTTTTTCTTTCGGTAAAAAAATAATTTTAATTGCATATGACATTTACAATTTTTTTACTAGTCTCTCTTTCCGGTCAAAACTCTTTAAATTTTTAATAGATTAAAATCTATTATGCGAACACACAAAAACATTTCAAACGAAGCATATTAAAATAATTAATTGCATTGCCAATTTTGCAAGTACGAGTAACAAATATCATGGTGATAATTTTATTAGTCGACAATTTTTGAGATTGATGAGACGCGCAAATTGTGAAATATTTTCCAATTTTTATGATCAGCGTTTCATTTTATATCACGTATTTGTTTCATAAATTACTTTTGCTTCTCACCAAATTTCTGACAATTTTTTTCACGATAAAAATTGTTACTCCAAATTTGCACAAAAATCGATATATTTGAGATTTATAAAATTGCGCAAAGTTTTAGCGTATATTTATTTTCACAACACAGACATCTTTTTGTTTTCACCTTGATAAAAAAACGTTCAAATTATGCAAAAAATAGGGAATTATCAGACAAATCGATTTTTATTTATTATTCTGCGTATAGAAGTATTAAAGTAAGATAAGTAAAACGATGTGAATATATTTTACATGATATCTCTCATATTGTTATGTCATAATATCAGAATAAAGATAGACAATAAAAATAGCTCATAAAATATTCACTATTCGATGAATGGTTCGAGAAATGACAAAGAGAATCGATATGCACAAAAGCCTTACTTCTAGTTCTATCCGAAAGGATTATGAGAGGCTTTTTCAAAAATTTCGAAAATTCTCATTTGAAAACAAATCTTGACAAAAAATCCCATCAATCAAATCCTCAAATTCCTTTAAAATAAATGATTTCTCTTTCAGATATCCATCATCCCTCATGCTTGATAAAAATGACTAGACGCGAGATATTCAAAGCGATCGCGGTAAAGGTGACATTCCGTGTGTCAAATTCGTTATTAAATTGCCATTACGAACAATCGCTATAATATATCGACGCGTTCAATCGTCGATTTGTGTAGGCCCATCACTTGTAAAAAAGGTAGACAGACAGTTCGAACTATCCACCCCTGCGAGCGGTATCGCGATATCGTGCTCTAACGACCGTTTCTCTTTGTCGTCGTCGTCGTCGTCGTCGTCGTCGTCGTCGTCGTCGTCGTCGTCGTCGTCGTCGTCGTCGTCGTCGTCGTCGTCGTCGTCGTCGTCGTCGTCGACATCGTTGTCGGCGTCGCGGACGTCGTCGTTGCCACATGCGCGTGCGATTTGCCGGGTCGTCATAGCGACGTAAACTCAAAAATACACGCCTAGCGGAATAGATTATTGCACGTTACATAGCTGTAGTTGTGGTTAAAGTCGTAGCTAAAGCCGCGTGGACAACGCGTCGCCGATGCAACGGTACGAGCCATGTATTGTCACGGTACATTTAGCGCTAAACGTTCCTTCCCTCACGACCGTAATATTATTATTCCTTCAATTTATTGAACGAGAGAGAAAGGTATTTTAACATCCGAAACATTTTAATGCCCCTTTCTTCACAATTTATCTTATTCAAAAATTATCACGCATGAATACTTTACAGGATTATTATATAGTTCGTGCTTATATTTAAAGGTCGTTTAATCTTGATTTGCCATTTTAAAGGAAAAAGTAAAACTTTTATAGCGTTTCGCTTTTCTTTACCAGCTTCTAACTGAAAAGATTTCGTTATTTTAGCATCTCTAAGATCGCTTCTAAAAAGAAAGTGTTTATTCAAATTTTATATATATTTTGTGTACAATAGTTGTAATGACAGAGATATATAATTCTGTAAAATTCAGATTTGAAATTTAACTCTGCTCGCTTCTAACTGAAAAGATTTCGTTATTTTGGCATCTCTAAGATCGCTTTTAAAAAGAAAATATCTATTCAAATTTTATGTACATTTTGTGTACAATATATCTGTAATGACACAGAGATATAATTCTGTAAAATTCAGATTTTAAATTCAACTCTACTCCTCGTCTTCCCCAAAGAAAATTCGACATATCTTTGTAGTCACAACATGCAACGAGAAAAACGAATAGCGCGGCCTCCATTGTACGAAACTTGGGCGAAATAGGCAGACCCAGCGAGGCGAGATCACGGAAAACTTTCGACAGTTCTCGGAAAGATATACGAATCACTCTGCGAAGAAAAACTCGAAGAAAAATGAAAAGGAGCCGCTCGTTTTTCTCTCTCTCAAGTATACCGCGAGAAACTCTGCCCTGCTGAGAGAGGCGCGAATTAAGTTATTAAAAGATGCATGGAACTACCGAGAACTAACGTACTGTCTTCTGTCAGCCGCAGATGCTTGGGAAAATGTAAAGCCGACTCTGCCTTTGGAAAATTTAAAATTTGAAAAATAATTTAATTCACTTGTGTGTTGATGAAAGCTTACTAAAATACCTGTGTCGATGAAAGTTACTTGATCAACACGAGTGAATGAAATTATTTTTCAAATTTTAAATTTTTCAAATTTTAAAATTATTGCTTGGAATTCCGTAGTTATTTTTTTTAAATATATATATATGTTTTCTCAAAGAATGGCATTAAATATGAATATCGTAATACGAATTTTTTCTACCTTATTTCTATTCTTGTTTTCTCTCTTATCTTGTAATTTGATTAGAATTTATACGCTAATTTTGTACTGTATACATATTTGATATCTCAGACACGAATCTTAATATGAATTTGTACAATGTTATCGCTAACACTGCCCTACCTTCCGGCGTTAAACCTTCGACGGACATCGGTTCCCTTTGAACACGATAAATTAATACCGATGCGAGCATAGGTTCTACGGTTTTGTACGGGGCGATTGCAAGTCACGCATGTATACCTGTGGTTCATGATGTTATCGTGCTACATTTCATAAGACTAAATCACACCACGTATATTTACTAGCAACTAG